TATGGAGGGGCTAACACTGAACCTACTTAATGTCTATGCCCCGACATCGGGCCTGGAACGGGTACACTTTTTCCAGCAGATGTCCGCCTTCCTCGGCTCCTTGGATCCTCATGAGTGCCTGGTCCTGGGCAGGAATTTTAACTGCATCCTCGAGGAGTGGGACTGCATGGGGACTGAGTCAAGCCTGGCTGCCGCAGATGTCTCTGGGAGATTGTAGATCACCATTCTCTGGTGGGTGTCTGGCGTGACCACCACCCGGATGATGATTCTACCTTCACCTATGTCCAGGTGGAGGAAAATTGGTCACACCACTCCTGGTAGGACTGCATTTATTTTTCTTGTCATCATCTTTTGTGAACCCACTCCTCCAGCATTTGGCCAGCCCCATTCTTGGACCACCATCTGGTGGCTGTGACAGCCTCTCTTACCTCTGAGAGGCCGGGGCTGGCCTACTGGCACTTCAATAATAACCTGCTGGAGGATGTGGGCTTTATAGTGTCCTTCCAGGACTTCTGGCTGGCCTGGCAGAGGCAGAGGTGTGTCTTTCCCTCAGTGTGATGATGGTGGGATGTGTGGAAGGTGCGCACCCAGATCTTCTGCCATGACTACTCCTGGGGTGCTAGCCAGTGGAGGGATGCGGCAATAAAGCAGTTGGAGCGGGAGGTCTTGGTGCTGGAGAGGCATCTGGTCACCAGCCCCGGGGATCCATCCCTCTGTGGAGCATGCTGGGAGAAGGGGAAGGAGCTCCGAGCCCTTGAGGACCGGCGGGCCCTGGATGCATTTGTTGGATCCCGCATCTGTCTCCTCCGGGAGATGGATTGCGGCTCCCATTTCTTCTATACCCTGGAGAAAAGGAGGGGGGCTAAGAACCATGTCATCTGCCTTTTGGCAGAGGACGTCATCCCCATCACGGATCTAGAAGAGTTGCATGGAAGGGCCAGGGCCTTCTACACCAAACCTCTTCTCCCCGGATCTGAATGACAGTGACACTTGTAAGGTGCTCTGGAATGAACTCCCAATGGTCAGCGTGGGCGACCAGGACTGTCTGAAGCTGCCTCTCACTCTGGCTGAGTTCTCGGAAGCCCTCCATCTCATGGCCACCAATAAGTGCCTGTTCTGGGATGTTCTTGGCCCGGACCTTGCCATCATCTGGGCCAAGTCCTTGGGGAGCAGGGTCCTTCTTCTGTCATGCTGGTGAGCTGTTCTCACCTTGCTTCTGAAGAAGAGGGACCTCCAGAATTGGTGTCCTATCTCGCTCTTCAGCACGGACTATAAGGTCAGGGTGAAGGTCATCTCGCTATGACTGGGGTCCATGCTGGAGGACATGGTCCATCCTGACCAGACCTACATCATCCTGGGCTGGACCATCTTTGGCAACTTCTATTTGGTTTGGGATCTCCTTGAGCTTGGGTGTGGGGATGGTCTGTTGTTCGCCCTCCTGTCTCTGGATCAGGAAAAGGCGTATGACCAGATGGACCACAGGTATCTCCTGGGCACACTGCGGGCTTTCAGCCTCCGGCCCCAGTTCATGGGTTTTTGCCAGGTGCTGTACGCCTCCACAGAGTGTTTAATCAGGCTCAACTGGACCCTGACCGCACCTGTCAACTTTGGGTGAGGGGTATCACAGGGCTGTCTGCTGTCAAGCCAGCTGTATACTGTGGCCATTGAGCCCTTCCTTTGTCTCCTCTATTGGAGGTTGATGGAAATGGTGGTCCATGAGCTGGAGATGCGGCTTTTGCTGTCGGCATATGCCGATGACATGCTTCTCGTGGTCCAGGACCCAGGTGATCTGGTGCAGGTGGAGGCCTGCCAAGTGATCTATTTGGCAGCCTCCTCTGCCCGGGTCAGCTGGGTCAAGAGCTCTGGCTTGGTGGTCGAGGATGGATGGCAGGCCAGCTCCCTCCCACCCGCCCTTCGGGCCATTTGGTGGGGCGTGGGTCCACTGCTCTATCTTGGCATCTATCTTTCTGCCACGCATCCTTCTCTGCTGGATTTGGCACGATTTGGAGGGCAGGGTGGTTGTGTGGTAGATTTCTGTTACCAATCTGCCTGAGGCATCAGGTGATGAGGCTGAGGCTGCAGGATCATTAGGGGAGGAGATGACGGAGCACACCAAGTATCTAAGTTTTAAAGCTTTACTAATAAAATAATAAAATAACAGCGGAGAGTGCTGGGGTTCCCCACATCACTCAGAGGAAGGAAGAAAGCGTTAGTGCCCAAAGCCCTAACCCACTTTCATACTTACACCCACACTACTCAAGGCTGGCCAAGCCTGGGTGTAACGTAAGAAGAAGACGGGGAGGGGTGGATGGGTCCTGTGCATAGGTCGTCCAGGATCTGCTGTTGATCTCCAACTTACTCCAGCTCCCAGGAGGGTTTTTAAGTCCCGGGTTCTTTAGGGGCATTTTGTTCAGGGACCTCTGTTCCCCATGCCCTTTGTACCAGTACAAACTGGGTCTTGTGGCCTCCTCAGCTTTCACAAAACACACCAGTTCCAGGGACGCAAAACTCCCCCCCCCCATCTGCTGGCCTTTGCCATATTGCTTGTTTTTGCAATCTCGGCAGTCCTGTTCAGCTTAGTTCTCCTTTTCTCATGGCTTGCTGGCATAGGGTAAGATATGAGCACAGCTGCAGACTTCTCATTGGGCATTGTGACTTTGGACTGGGGCCAGTGTCTTATCTTCGGGCTGAACTAGCTGAAGTGTTGAGTTAACCCGTTCTCTGCTTTGCTCCTCCCTCCCCCTTTGGCCTCTCGCAGCCTGTAAAGGAACCTTCCACTGCACACTCACACCTTTGACCCTCCCCAAAATGCTTTGCGATGCCTGCAACAGCGTTAGCCAGAGGCAGTGCTGATGTATCTCCCCCTGAGGGAGGGGGCCATGAGGGTATGACAGTTGAGCAGCTATGGCAGTGGGCAGGACTCCTCTGGTGCCTCTCCCTTCAGGGGAGGGCACTGGCTCAACACCCTGTGCCCAGCCCTGGGGTTCCTGGCCCGGCTCCAGAAGCTGGTTCTGGAGTTCTTTTGGCCAGGGCTGCACTGGGTCTCTGTGGGGGTTCTGCATCTTCCCCTGGAGGAAGGAGGACAGGGTCTGGTGTGCCTGCATGCTCAGGTCCATGTCTTCCACCTCCAGGCCCTGCAGAGACTCCTTTATGGTTCAGGTAGCTTGGCATGGAGTATGTTGGCTTATGTCTTCCTCCACCGGCTCCCAGGGCTTTGATATGACTGGCAGCTTTTTCATCTCCATCTGAGAGGTCTTCTACAAGACCTCTCTGAGCTCCCAGTCTTCTACTAGGACCTTCTCCAGACCTGGAAGCTGGTTTCGGCAACCACGTCCATGGTGGCCACAGATGGGGGTAGATCTCCTTGAGGAGCCCCTGCTACACAATCCTCATCTTCATGTGCAGGTGGCAGAGTCACCTTTGGTGCACCAGAGGTTGGTCCTGGCAGAAGTTACCAGAATCTGAGACCTCCTGGGCTACGACTGGGGGGACTGAGTGGATCCCTATGCACTTGGCTGGCACATGAGGTTCTCCGCCCTTGGTACCCCCCGGCATGTAATTCAGGAGGTGGAGGCAGCCTTAATGCGCACTTCTTGGTCTTTCCTCGAGCAGGTCCTATGAGAGGGTATCCCTGCCTGTCCCTTACCCCAGGCCCTCCGGATCTCTGCATTGGTCCCCTGCCCCTGTGAGCCCTCTCAGCCCCCACACCTTTGTACCCTGAGCTGGCTGTGTGATTTGCGGCTGGTTTGCTTCTGAACCGTGCCATGGGACCATCTTTACACACTCATGCTCCACACTCTTCACTTCACCACCCTCGTGTCCTGCTCCGACACCAAGTGGTGGGACCTTCTTCCAGCTGTAAAGGGTGAGGACCCCAGTGTGCCAGCCTCTACTCCATTTTGATTCCACGGCCTGCTGGGGATATTAGCTGGTGGCTCCTTCATGGAGCCATGATCATGGGCATGTACCTGGCATGGCTCATCCCATTCCTGATGCCTGCCCTTTTTGCAGTGTGAGGGAGACCCTGGCACATGTTTATCTGCAGCCATCTTGCAGCCACTCTTCTGGCTGCTCCAGAACCTCTTATTGAGGTTCTGGCTGCACTTTTCCCCGCCCCTTTTTATTAATGCACACCCTATCTGTGGCACCACAAAATCGACCTCCTCCTAGCTATGGCCAAGGTGGCCATTTACAACACCAGGGAAAGGAGGTTGGCTGAGGATGGGGGCACTGTGACTGTGGGGCCTGTTTTCATTCCTTATCCATTCACACATCCGGGCAGAGTTCCCCTGGCATCCTCTGGCTCCTTCAATGCTTTTGAGGAGCAGTGGGTGCTGTCCAGGGTTCTCTACTCAGTGTCCCCTTGTGGTTCCCTAGTTTTGGCCCTTTGACCTTCACACCTGTCCCTGTTATATTTTTGGTTGTCCCCCATAGTTATTTGAGTTCATGGATCTTGTGGATCCTCCCCGAAGGCTGGGGGAGTGTCCTTTAGCCCATGCCTGTGCCCACCCACTTCCCACAACCCAATAGGACCACTCTCCTGGTGCTCTCTGGCCCTGCTGTACCACACCGAGCTCAGCATTCTGTGATATCCTTACCTCTCCTGTTCCTTTTTTCACTGAACCCCACCAGCCCATGCTTACTGTTATCAGCTTCCATAGGATTCTCTCATTGTCCCTGAACCTCTCTGTCAGTTGTGCAATTCCAGGGGGACTTGTCCTCTCTCTGGAGTCTTCAATTTCTGGGATATGCAGTTCCATTCTCTGTGTTTTAGGCACCTCTTTGATAATGAGTGTCTGGCTGTGTATTTTCCTAGCAGAGATGTGCATAGTTAAATGCTTCATAAGCAGAGCTTATGTCCATCACGTTTGAGCATCAGGGGAGGTAGCCTTGCAATTTTACTTGTTGAAAACGAACTGGGCTTAAACTAATAGAATGCTTTTTATTACATATTTCCCATTAACTCCCCTGATCTCCCTTGTTTTCTTACCCCTGAACAGGGTTTCCTGTTTCCAAACCTGATGTGGTCTCCCAGCTGGAAGAAGGGGAAGAGTTGTGGGTCCTAGATCTCCAGAGTTCAGATGAAAAAGAGATCCTAAGAGATCCCTGCACAGATGAGGAAACATTAAACCAACCCAGAATCTGTAAGTGCCCAAGGGAAACAGCTGGGATTACCCGCACAGACTTTGTGAGCTCTGTGAGTCCCCAGCAGATATCATTCATGTCTTCCTACAGATCATGACTGACACCTGGCATTAGTTCTCCTTTCCTACTGAGTGCTTGGATGGGATTTGGAGGCAAAATTCATCCCCTCCCCTCTCCCCTACCCTTTTTATTTTTTATTTTTATTTTCTGTCTCTCCAATACTTATTTTAGTTTGCTCTCTGCCCTTTCATCCCTAATTCTGAGATTTCTTTTCTATTCTAGCAGGTTATGGGATGGTGGACAAGAACAAAGTGCAGATTCCTCAGCAGGAAGATGCTGAGCAAGTGGAAGCATGTGGGGCATTATCACAAAGTTCCAAAGGGAATGTTTCCAGTAGTCATGAATGGGAGAAAGCTTGTGAAAGTCACCACAGGCCAGAGAGATATCAGGGAAACCAGACACAGGAAAAAGTGGATGAACCCATTAGTTTTCAAGGAACTCACAGGGAACTCAAAGAAACCACATTCCAGGCAAAAATCTTCAGGGGAGAGAGAGAGAATACATGCAGCGAGTGTGGGAATAACTTCAAATACCACTCAGCTCTCATTCGACATAAGATCATGCACACAAAAGACAGACCCTATGAATGCTTCACTCAGAGCACAGTCCTTATTACGCATCAGAAAATACACAGAGGAGAGAATCCCTATCAATGCTATGAGTGTGGGAAAAGCTTCACTAACAGCTCAACGCTTATTACTCATCAGAGAATACACACAGGTGAGAAACCCTATCAATGCTGTAAATGTGGGAAAAGCTTCACTAACAGCTCAACGCTTATTACTCATCAGAGAATACACACAGGTGAGAAACCCTATCAATGCTGTGAATGTGGGAAAAGATTCACTCGTAGCTCACACCTTGCTATACATCAGAAAATCCACATGAAAGAGAGACCCTATGAATGCAGTGACTGTGGGAAAAGGTTCACTCACTGCTCAGAACTTACTATGCATCAGACAATCCACACAGGTGAGAAACCCTATCAATGCTGTGAATGTGGGAAAAGATTCACTCGTAGCTCACACCTTGCTATACATCAGAAAATCCACATGAAAGAGAGACCCTATGAATGCAGTGACTGTGGGAAAAGGTTCACTCACTG